TCTTATTCATTTCTAAAATATTAAGAGGATCATAATTAATGCAATTAGAGCAAATTAAATGAATCTTGAAACTATACTACTAAAAAATGTTAAGGACCATCAAATTCTTTCATATATCTATAGTTAATCAATCATACCCAAACAAATTAAGGACTCTTTCATATTACTGTAGTAAGTCTGCCATGCCATGACAGATTAACTATAGTACAGTAAACTATGGTTATAACGAACTCAAAGGGACCACCCATTTTAGTTTGTAATAACCGTAGTTCGTTATAAGCATATATACAGCATATATGCAACACATGGCCGGGGCTAACTAGTAAGTTTGTTATATCGGTCAGTTCGTTATAAGCATGTTCATTATAACCGTAGTTTACTGTAACATGAAAGAAACGGGTGATCCTTCTTTTTTTAGGATCCAACCAGGTGGGTACGTCAACCACATGTCCACCATCATCGCTGAACACATACATTGAACAAATGCAGTAAAACAGTATAGAACAAACTCACTTTAACAGCTGGATGACAAACTTGTGCCCGACTTTCTAATCTGGGACTATTAAATATCAACTGAAAATGAGTATTCTTTTCTTACAAAAAGAACATAGAGGTAGGGGTGGGTTGGAGATTTTCCTTCCATGTGTAAAAGTCACAAAACAACATTTCGGTTGTACACTTTGGACAAAATATTTGCATTTCATCTATACTTATCCTTGTTTTCTGTGTATTATATATTCATTCTAGTATGACATTTCATTCGTACACTTTGGACAAAATATTTGTATTTCATCTATACTAGTCCTTGTTTTCTGTGTATTGTATATTCATTCTAGTATGATAAATACCCTGAACATAACTGCCACCATATATCTGCCCAATCAAATTACCTTGTCTTTCACGATAGAACCAAGCAGCTATGTACCAAATTATACCGCCTCCTATACAACTAGGAACACCAGATAGCAATATCCAATAACCTCCGAGCTTACTCGGCTGTGCACGTGACCAGACTTTTCTCTTGTTTCGAAGGACACATGAATGGACTGTCTAAGATGTGATGATGTGAGAGAGGAGAGTGACTGGTTTCAGTGAGTGCATGAGTATGGTTTTATGCCGCTTTTAGCAATATTCCAGCAATATCACGGCAGGGGACACCAGAAATGGGCTTCACACATTGTACCCATGTCAGGAATCGAACCCGGGTCTTCGGCGTGACGAGCGAACACTTAAACCACTAGGCTACCCGACCGCCCCATGACTGGTTTCATACAACAGAGGCATTTCTTATGGTAAACTAGGCTAAAATAAACTCTGGTTCCTATCTAATCAAGCTGGCAATTATTATTTTGTAGCTCTGATTCACTGTGCCGAGCTCAATTATGTTGGTTTGTGAACTGAACTGTGCATGTGACGTCACACAGAACCATTGATGTACTGTCCCTTTAAGAGGGATATAAAAACATTTTGATAAGCTAAGGTAACTTTGACAATATTATACATAAAATGTGTATCATGTATACACAAGGTCTATTTCATTAAGCAAGCTTAATCCTATAGATAAAGTAAATCATTGAATGTATACCTTATGTGAAAGCTTTCGAGAGACTTCAAGGGGATATAAATTTTTTTTTGATAAATAATTATTTGAAAATGTACATAAAATGGGTATGTGATAAGCAAGTTCTATTATGTTGAAACTTGATTTCCTCGATTAATCAGTGTCAACTCAGTTTATTGCCTATTACAGTGATTGACCGATTGGACTATCATTGTCGGTACGATGTATTTACAGCAATCAAAACAAACAAAGCTTGTCAGTGTAGATAATCTTCATTGTGTTACAACTGCAGACAGAAACTGCTCAGTCCTAACTGTTGATCATGTCCGGTCAAAATTTAAGAATGTCCGGACAATACTTTTTAAAATGTCCAGACAGAAAAATTTAAATGTCCGGTAAGCAATATTTTAAACCGGTCATTTGAGATTCCCAATCGGACATGTCCGGCGCATATGACGGTTTCCGGACCCCTGGTTGAAAGTATATCAAAACACATACACTGCATTCGGTCGATATGAACACATATCAGCTGACAATGGAATGTGATGTTAACAATAATGCTGACACATTGTTACTGCAGTACAGTACAATAACCCATTATATTCATCTCTACCGTTGTTACAAGTAACACATGCTGTGATTGTCAAGGCATTTCAGCCAGAGACCAAGTACCGGGACCTGAAAAAATAACAGGATCCAGTTTTGATAATAAACTTGTGGTAACACATCAATTAAATTAATGCATCCATTTGAATAGAAACAGTTAAGTTCAACATCAACAAGACTGAGAACAACCCAGGACCTTCTGGAATTCCTGGTTCAAGATAATACAAATATCTGAGAAAAAACGTGTTCAAACTTAGATATATACCTGAAATATGTTAAGCATCACATTTGTTTTAGCCCAAATTTCCATGTATCTTTTGGAAACATCTACACATCGTATTGATGTCATTTTGATGGCGAATACACTACTGGCACCTGCTGAAGTACTGGTACATAAGTACTGATTGTACAATAGTTGCAGATACCAAGTCATATCATATACACATATGTTAGGGATCACGAAATATTTGCATGCACAATACACATTTAAAGAAACTCAATCTTCAGTACAAGGAAATATCTCCCAAAATATTCATGATTCCTAAAAAATTTTGTTCAGTATATGCAAAGTAGCAGAGAAGGCAATTGAGATGGTAGTCCTACTTACTGCCAAGATACAGTTACAAATCGTCATTAGATCATCCATTTGGGTTCCTGTATTTCAATATGAGTATGTCTACTTCGTAAACAAAAACAAATGTGTTTCTTCAGGGAAAATATTTCGGATAGGATTCTGTAGCTATTTTATGAGGTAACAAAATGTAAGCAGTGCTTAACTTTTTTCCAAGTCTATATTTGAATATGCATATACCACCTGCTTGTAGTAGTGTGTGAGTTGGGTTTAACGCCGCTTCGAACACTATTCCAGTTATATCATGGCGTGTCAGCTTAATGTGCATGGGAGGAAAGCCCTAGTGCAGGTCTGAGACGTTTACCACTTTGGAGGAATTCCCATGCACAGGTATGGTGCTGACAAACCTAGAAACATAATCATGGTAAGTTGGAATTTGAACCCACAATCATGGGTTTGTGGCTTGCCCAAGGGACGCAACTCTGCACAGTGAACTGCAGCGTCTCAGACAACTGGGACACCTGTGCCCCTGCATGTAGTAAGAAAATGTAGTTGTTTTACAATATACACAAACTTTTCACGTTCCATAATTATTTGTGACATGTATTTTCAGCAGTGTTTCGTATTTCTGTAGACATAAGGTGACATAAAATTAAAAAGCCAAAAACGTCATGCACATAAAAACAACAGACAGAAAAGCCTTGAGCAATCATGGAAATACTGATTAGCAGGTTGACTTTGTCAATATACCACAACATAAAATACTGAGACTACATCATACAGATCTTGAAAAATGGTGGGACTCAAGCATATCACAAGTTACCAAGAAAATACAGACATTTAGGGAATTTTTTGTGTGACGAGCTCACGTATATTTGACTTAACTTGTCATGATATGGTAAACAGAAAAATTATTTGTACCATTATCTTAAATTTTATTCCATGTAATAATGGAAAACTAAGCATTAAAGTTTCTCTCTTTATCATTTTGTTCATTGGTCCTTTTAATATAACGGTAACGCTATTTTTCAGGGCATTATCATTTGCAGAAGCCCGAGGTCTTCTATTAACTGCCCGACGAAGGTTAGTTGAAAAGACCGAGGGCTTCTGCAAATGATAATGCCCTGAAAAATAGTGTTACCTTTATTATAGCTAAAATGGATAGAATTTGTAATCAAATAAAAATAAACAATATCGCTTTTGAAACATTTAGTGCAATTAACACAAATTTCACTGACCCACTTTTACAAATATGGAAACGTCATAGGTCAAATCAGAAGACGTCACTATTGTACGTGACGTCACCTTTCCTATCCCTGTGACATCACCTAACAATGGGCGTGATAATGACCTGTTGTCAAGCAATACGAGGGCATTATCAAGTTACAGTGGCCCGCTCATTTCTGATAACATGTGGGCGGTTTAATGACAATTCCATCCCTTTCAGCCAAAATGAAACACAAGCCCCCTCTTCAGAGCCATTACATTAGTAATAACTATATTAACATGACAAGGGAAATTCTGTATTTTTATCATCTATCAACTCAATAATGATTCCTTATTTAGAGAAGATAAACACTATTATTCTTTTCAGATTTGCAGGTTTTATTGAGTATTCAATGGACGGAAATTTCATTTGGAATTGACTGTGACTGAGTGTGAGGTTTCAAATGTTAAATGTCCAGTCATTGAATACTCAAAACACAATGTTTATCTACATTGTAAAATACAACAGTTATCACTCTTTTTCGGAATCATTCTCTCTCCATGTAAAGTGATGGAATGTGATGATGTCATTATACAAAGGATGACATCAGATGCTGCCATATTAACTGAACCCGTCTGGTTACCAGAATGGGCAGAAAACCTGACCATATCGAAATTGTACTGATAATTGATCCAACTTAAATTTAATTAACCTAGTATCCATTTCGCCAAACCAAATGGCACATTTTACGAATTTGAGATTGTAAAAAAAGATTATAAAAAAAAGTACTCATGCACCGTGACAAGTCTGAAATGTTTCCCCTTCAACAATGGTTTTCAACCAATCAGATTTCAGGACACAAATGCATTCGTTTTACAATGATTAACTAACCAGTGAGTGAGTGAGTTGGATTTAACGTCGCTTTCAACATTATTCCAGTTATATCACGGCGTGTCAGCTTAATGTGGGAGGAAAGCCCGAAGTGATGCAGGTCTTAGACGTTTACCACTTCGGTGAAACCCACGAGCACGGGTATGGTGCTGACAAACCTAGAAACATAATCGGGGCGAATCGGGATTTGAACCCAATATCATAGGTTTCAGGCGTGCCCAAGGGATGCAACTCTGCACAGCGAATCGCGGGGCCTTAGACGACTGGGCCACCCGTGCCCCCACTAGTCATGAGTAATAATGTAGATGACAGATTTTCCAAACAGTTCCCCTCAGCAACAAGGTGACGGAACAATGCTGTTTCTGTTTGGAATGTGTCCAGTTCATTAACTTGACAAAAATAGATATCAAATATACATGCATAAAAAATATCTTCGTACAGTAGCTCTCTGTGTACATAATGGAATTAAGTCGTAAAATAGGTTTGATTTCATCTGTTTAGAAGTTGATTACAAAACTGTGTCTATAAACCATAATATCACCATCAAATTATCCAATACTCAAAAAGTTGACTATAAACGTATATAAATTTGTGATTCAGATAAGTCTGATAGATGTGTAGCAGCCATAAACTCTTCAAGTCCCTTGATGGGATTCGAACCTCAGACCGTTTGATATGAGGTTGGGTGCCTTGTTCACATGACCAAAGAGGTTAACACCATCAGCAAGCTGACACGGTAAGTATGTCAGCTGTGGGATGACTCCACACCCTGATACGTAAGAGAGTATGTCTTAAAAACCAAAGTGTTAACTAAAGTTAGTCACTTCCAAATACAATTTTGTTACAAGGCCTCCTCCGAAGTTGATAAACAGTAAAGCTGCAACATTACAGATGACAATATTGAGCACAGGAAGGTCTACCAATCTAAAATTGAGCCTCGGTTTGATCAACCAATCACATTCTCGCTGCGATCCAGTTGATGATGTCATCACGGACGCCGGCTCCATCATCACCAAGTTCATTGTGCAACTGATGCATGTAGTTTTCATAAATCTGTAAGTAAAACATCAAGTTCTGAATTTGTAAACTCTGCAACACATTTAATTAAGTTTCTATGTACATTCATAATGTCTGTGATGGGGCCGATGAGTGAAGTGTTTTAATGTTGTAGTCAGCAATATTCAAGCATTACACCACAGTGGCGTGTTGACTATCACGTCTGATACCAGCGGTTATTAACGGGTCATCTACTCAAACAATTTACATTGTTTGTTTCTTTCTTTCTTTGTTGTTTGACACCAAACTCAGCAATATTCCAGCTATAGCGCCTTTTATGGGTTGCTGAAGACATTTCCTACCCTGGATCTTCACAGGTCACAATTTACAATGACACACACAAAAGCTGGTCACACATTTTAACCAACCAATCCTCATTAGTTCACTCTCACCAGCTACCCCATTATCTACTCAATGATTAACACCTTGCATACCTTTCCACATGCTAATGTGCAAGTTGCTAATCACTGTGAAAGGATCACGGGAAACAATCTCTATCCCGGAATCCCCCTAGTGATTACAACTTGAATCCCTTACCCTGGAATCCCAATGTGCAATCTTCACCCCAGAATCCCTACAGGGATCCCAACTTGAATCCCCTACCCCCGACTCCCCCCAAAGTGATACCTACTTGAATCCCCTACCCTGGACTCCCCCAAGTGATACCTACTTGAATCCCCTACCCCAGACTCCCCCCAGTGATACCAACTTGAATCCCCTACCCCAGACTCCCCCAAGTGATACCAACTTGAATCCCCTACCCCAGACTCCCCCAAGTGATACCTACTTGAATCCCCTATCCCGGACTCCCCCAAGTGATACCTACTTGAATCCCCTATCCCGGACTCCCACCAGTGATACCAACTTGAATCCCCTATCCTGGACTCCCCCCAGTGATACCTACTTGAATCCCCTATCCCGGACTCCCCCAAGTAATACCTACTTGAATCCCCTATCCCGGACTCCCACCAGTGATACCAACTTGAATCCCCTACCCTGGACTCCCCCCAGTGATACCTACTTGAATCCCCTATCCCGGACTCCCCCCAGTGATACCTACTTGAATCCCCTACCCCAGACTCCCCCCAGTGATACCAACTTGAATCCCCTACCCCAGACTCCCCCAAGTGATCCCAACTTGAATCCCCTACCCCAGACTCCCCCCAGTGATACCTACTCGAATCCCCTACCCCAGACTCCCCAGTGATACCAACTTGAATCCCCTACCCCGGACTCCCCCCAGAAATACCAACTTGAATCCCCTACCCCAGACTCCCCCCAGTGATCCCAACTTGAATCCCCTACCCCGGACTCCCCCCAGAAATACCAACTTGAATCCCCTACCCCAGACTCCCCAGTGATACCAACTTGAATCCTCTACCCCGGACTCCCCCCAGAAATACCAACTTGAATCCCCTACCCCAGACTCCCCCCAGTGATCCCAACTTGAATCCCCTACCCCTGAACACGAGAATAGATGGCACTTGTGAAACTGTTTCACCTGTACTCAGCATGTTCAGGGTAATCCTGATTCAATCAAGTTAACTCTATCAAACAAATCAGGGTCTGAACCACTTGAATGAAAGTTGCTGTGACTGTCCCAAGCCTAGTCTACTGTCAACTTACTTTGAGAGTCTTATCCTTGCTGATGGCCTTCTCATGCAGCAGCTTGGATCCCTGGGGATCACACATCTTGTCCTCTGTCCCATGAAGGACCAGGAAGGGCCACTCCACCTTGCCCAGATTTGCCGTGATGTCCTGCAGGGTGGCCAGCATCTCACTGCCCCATCTGCAGCACAGAACTCTTCAGTCAGGGGGAGTAGGTAGAGGGGAATGTCCGAGTAACACTCCATTCCTTAAAACTAATGGAGCAAAGGCCCCCGCAGGTGCCGAGGTCCCATTATTTTTAAGGAATGGAGAGTAACGAGGATATTCCCCTACTTAAATCTCTTCCCTACTTTTACACTTTGACAAAATATTCCTCTCTGGAAAAAATTTGAACAATAAACCAGAACTCTTTGTTGTCTGCATTAATACTGCGTGAGTCGCCCTTGATTGATGAATATGTTCTCTGCCGCTGTTGCGCGTGCGCCAAGCTCCGTCGCAAGCAGACATTTACTCTGACCCAAGTGAGACAAACTCTTTGTTCCTACTTAACTTTTGATACTCCTTTATTCCATGAAACATCACACTGTTTATCAAAACATGTAAATAGTATTAAATATTTCAACACCAATTAACTACAGGTGATCTCACCTTGCCTTGAGCTTCCCATGATACACCAGTGGGTCGTTATCATACTTATGCACCTGAAACAGACAAAATTGACAATACAGAGAGACATACACCATATTACTGTAAAAAGAAATGGAATAAATTATATCGATATCTACATGATTGTTTTTGTGTTTGGCTTCTTTGCAGCTGGCTATCACAGTTCTGCTAAGGACTTGATATCTTTCTTCCGACACTCAAAGTGGTACTTTTACTGTTTAGTTTCAATCTTTTCTCCAAACCATAAGGCCTTTGAAGCTGAAACTTTGCACCTGATGTCTCCAAAATCTGCCCACATATCTGATTTTCTACACGGCCAATATTGAAAAAGTCATTCTTTCCATTACTCAGTCCTTTTTTGCAAGCATCTTTGGGTAAAAATCTCAAAACCGACAAATTTTCTGATATCAACTTGCAAAAATAAAAGAGTCCCTAATATAATTTTTCTCTTGATATTAGAGAATATGATACTTGAGAAGTACTTTCTATTTCAATGCAGTGCAGTGATGTGTTTAATTAATTAGAAAATAATTAATGAATTAGCCTAATCTGCTAGGACATTCAACTCCGTTACGGATCACAAAATGGAAAGTAATTTTAATAGCGCTAGGTTGCTTTGAAATATAAAATCGTATTCAGCAATTAACATTAAGTGTGAATACAATTCAGTGTTAAACAAATGCAAACTGGCTAAATAAAATGTATGATTGGACATTTGTAAGTGCTCGCTCCATATTTCAAAAGTTTGCCTAGACAACAAAGTCATTTACATGAAAGACGGTATCCAAAATATAGTATTTTTCATCTTTTGTCACAACATATATTATCATTAGTCCTAATCTAAAGTTAAAACTCATAAAAACAACAAAGTTTTTCGTCAGTTGTCAAAAGAAGTCATCTATTAAAAAAATCCTGACGTAACAGAGTTGAGTTTGTTGTAACGGAGTTGTAACTCATATATTTTGTTATTGCTCTCTAGCATAAAATAACAACCTTTTCATCCCTTTTGAGATGAAATGTGAAAATACATGCACTGTGTTGTGTTACTTGTCAGGACTTTGGTACTCATGGTTTATGAGCCAGTTACTGCAGTAATGGCATACAGAAGTGGGTCTACTAAATTACTAATGTTCAACCCTTTGTATAGACGTTGAAATAAATAAGCACAAAGTTGCTTAAAATGCCATTTTAGATCACTATAATATATTATAAAACTTCAAGATCAAATTTCAGATTAATCATATCATCAACACTGTCAGAAAACATGTTGTTTATACATGCATAATGAAATTGCTTTCTGCAGCCAAAACACAATAGCCAGGCACTCCCATCAATGTAAAAGACAACAGTTCTGTCTTCAATAATTAGTCCACTGTCGGAAAGAGCGCTATCAATAGAATCAAATCCACATTTTGCACAGGTCCTAACATCTTGTTCATCCAAAACATCAGAGCAGTCTGAGTGACTATTTAAAAAAAAAGTTCTTACTCCAGACTGTGGGAAAATTATTTGTCAGGTATAGGGTTAAAATAAAATAAAATATTCGTGAAGAACAAAGCTATGTACTGACAATAACTATCGAAATTGTGCAGATGCACAAATTTTTCCTCTCCGTTACGCTGTACAGCATTACAGAGTTGAGTGTAACGGAGTTGAGAAACCTTACTATAAATGGCTCATATCCCAGCATGCTTTGCTTTTTATGGAAATTAAAATACTCACTGCTAACATGGTCTTGCTAACCAATTTCTCTTGGAAAAGTGAAGGAAATTAGAATGAGATATAGATCTATAGACAGTGTAACAGAGTTGAGGCTCAGAAAACATACTGTACTTAACAGACATATCTTGACGCACAGGAGTCCGTATCTAAAAATAGACGCCCTCATGCATATTCATGACCATCTCCACACGCGAGCCCGAAGCGTCTGAGGGCGTCTATTTTTAGATACGGACTCCTGTGCTTGATGTCATTGGCTTGAACATTGTACATAAATGTGGCATCTATCTATCACCAGCAGATGAACTTCATACACATGTTGCCAAAAGAGGAAGCGTATGAGAGTTATCTCCCATAGCACAGTTATTTTTTTAGTATTGGTACGTTGTAACGGAGTTGAGTGCCTTTTGAGGGACATCTTTTTTTTCTTATTTATTTTTTTTTCAATTAGGTTTTAGATAATAATGATAGGATACATGTAATTAATGTTCATTTGAGAGTGTGAAAAACAAAATTTGTTACATTTTTAGAATATTTAGATACAGATTAGGTATTATTTTTTATTCTGGTCCAGCTGAGGGACAGCCATGTTTTTAGTAAATCCAGAAAATATTTGCTTATAAACAAACAAATATTAACTTGAAAGTACATTTTTTTAGCATTTTACATTTGAAGAAAGGTAATCTACTTGTGAATAGTCTTGAAAAGGAAATCAAATATTTTAAAATACATTTCTGCAAACAAACTACTGATGTACAGGTCAAGTGGGAAATTGTTACGGTGTTGAGATTTTCACCCCTTTATGAAATTTGATACAAGATAAGTTTGGTTTTGTTTGTTGTTTAACGCCGCACTCAGTAATATTCCAGTTATATGACTTAAGATACTTAACAATATTCAACTATGCGACAACTGCCTGTAAATCCTGGAGTCTGGACCAGTGATTGGTGTAAAGAGTAACGAGCCAAGATGTCGGAGTCCAATGACATGCTATTGACGGTCAGCTAGCCTGACCATGCGATCAATTACATTGGCTCTTTTGACCAGCATAATTTTGCTGGGGTCTTGTTCTAACCTGGAGTCCTAAAAGGGCGATAACTAGCGCTAGTCATGTTGTAGCAAGCTAATGCACATACCACTTCACGATCCCGAGAAACATTCTTGCTGTCAAGTTGGATGATCGGGAACTGGGGAAACAATCGCCCAATCATGCGACCAAGAGTGATCTGTAAAAAATGTATACTTAAAACACTTACAGATCACAACTGAAAGCTATTTATCACAACATATCACAAACATAAATTATAACTTACATGCAGGGGGAAGTTTGTGGTTGAGTGGTTGAGTAAGTGAGTGAGTGGTGAGAGTGAGTGAGTGAGTGAGTGGGTTGTAAGTGAGTGAGTGGTGAGTGAGTGGGTTGAGGGAGTGAGTGAGTGGTGAGAGTGAATGAGTGAGTGAGTGAGTGGAGGGAGTGGTGAGAGTGAGTGAGTGAGTGGGTTGTGAGTGAGTGAGTGGTGAGTGGGTTGAGTGAGTGAGTGAGTGAGTGAGTGAGTGAGTGAGTGTAGGTGTTTTTGTTGCAGGTGTACCATTTTTAAGTTAGGTGTGCCTTGTCTATATTCACCTATATTACAAATTGCAGCAATTCCATTCCATCAAAATATATAATGACATAAATGTGTTTCAGGGTTGCTGGTTCTGAAACCCCTTGAACCATTGAAGACAATTTCGCAGATTACGACTGCCGAAATTGGTGACTGATTTGAAACAATGTATATGTATTTATTTCAGTGTGTTATAATCACCTTGACTGGGGTGGCCACATTGGGATCCGGGATGACGGCAGGGCTGATCAAGACTACCCCTTTAAAGAAATCAGGCTTCTCCATAGCGGACTTGATAGCAATACTGCCTCCCTGAAAAAGAGGATGTGCATGGAAATTTAACATTTATGTTCACCTTTCCTCTCAACACTACACAATCAACTACGGTTATAACGAACTCGAGGGGACCACTAATTTTATTTCGTAATAACTGTAGTTTGTTATAAGCATACATACAGCACATATACAACAAATGGTAGGGAGTAATAATAAGTTCATTATATCCGTCAGTTCGTTATAAGCGTGTTCGTTATAAAGGTAGTTTACTGTAGGTTCAATCTAACTAGCTCCCTCAGCTCTATCAAGTTGCAGTGTGATGGAAATGTTTCATGAGAATATTTGATTAAAGTCACTAATCATTTATGGATCATGTCCATGTTATCAGAAGGAAGGTTGATTGTGCTGTTAGAACAGAATACCATACTGGATCATCTGCAATGTAAATAAGTGAGTATGGTTTTATGCCACTTTTAGCAATATTTCCAGCAATATCATGGCAAAGGACATCAGAAATAGGCTTCACACACATAGGGAATCAAACTGGCACTTCAGCATGACAAGCGAATGCTTAACCTCTAGGCTAGCCAACCGCCCCTGTCGGCAATGTAGAATAAACGAAAAAATTATATCTGAACAGATCCTACAACAAAGACATCACAATGACCTGTAACACAGACATCACCTCACCATGGAATGACCTGTAACACAGACATCACCTCACCATGGAATGACCTGTAATACAGACATCACCTCACCATGGAATGACCTGTAACACAGACATCACCTCCCCATGAAATGACCTGTAACACAGACATCACCTCACCATGGAATGACCTGTAACACAGACATCACCTCACCATGGAATGACCTGTAACACAGACATCACCTCACCATGGAATGACCTGTAACACAGACATCACCTCACCATGGAATGACCTGTAACACAGACATCACCTCACCATGGAATGACCTGTAACACAGACATCACCTCACCATGGCATGACCTGTAACACAGACATCATCTCACCATGGAATGTCCTATAAGAAAGACTGGGACATCGGGGAACTTGTCCTTGATGAGTTCAATGTGGTGGAACACATCCCGTGTGTACTGTGAGAAGCGGTCGATGTGCACCCGGTCTCCCTCACTCTGGCCATGGCCAACTGAAAACAAAGAAGAAATCTCAGCACTACGTCATTTCTGCATGAACAATGTTTCATAGTTCATTGTACATTTAGTTTAACCATTTTAAAACAATTTTTACCTTTCTAATTTAAGTGTAATTACTACCTGGAATATCAGCTAACTGATAAATTTTTTACATACAGTTTACAAGCATCTGACTCTCCTATATATTCCTATAAAATTATTCCCTACTTAAATATAATTTTTGATCGGCTGTTGTTTCACTATTCCCCATGTGTGTGTGTAGCTGCTTGTACTTGTCCAGACTAAAGTCTAGAGGAGTAACGATGCAGTGGGGCCTTGATACGGTATGTATCCCAAAACTAGGGGTGTGGTACAATTCGTATCCTGATACAGAACTTAGCAGGTGAATCCGTGAAGATCAGGGGTAGAATAAATAGGTCTTTAGCAACCCATGTTTGCCGTGAAAGGTGCCTATGCTTGTCGTAAGAGGCGACTAACGGAATCGGGTGGTCAGGCTCGTCAGGTGATACATGTCACTGTATCACAGTTACGTGGATCGATGCTCATGATGACAATCACTGGATTGTCTGGTCCTAACTAGGTTATTTACAGACGGCTGTCATATAGCTTGAATATTGCTGAGTGTGGCGTTAAACAACAAACAACAAACAGCAGGTGAATCACAACACTGTATTGTCGTATCATTACACCACTACTACCTTGCTGCACTTTTAACACTCAGACACAGCTCACCGACTCCGAGCCAACCAGTCCTTGTTGTATCCCCCCTCCCTGACCCCCCGCATCAGAACAAGACTTACTGTGGTCATGTGAGAAGACATACAGGCCCTTCTGTGTGAGTTGCTGTGCCAGCTGGGTGTACCACAGACAGTGTTCTCCTGCTCCGTGGGCAATGAACAGCAGCGCCCTGGAACACAAACCAGGGATAGACATTATTTATATTGAGTGTACCACAGACAGTGTTCTCCTGCTCCGTGGGCAATGAACAGCAGCGCCCTGGAACACAAACCAGGGATAGACATTATTTATATTGAGTGTACCACAGACAGTGTTCTCCTGCTCCGTGGGCAATGAACAGCAGCGCCCTGGAACACAAACCAGGGATTGACATTATTTATATTGAGTGTACCAAAGACAATGAACAGCAGCGCCCTGGAACACAAACCAGGGATAGACATTATTTACATTGAGTGTACCACAGACAGTGTTCTCCTGCTCCATGGGCAATGAACAGCAGCGCCCTGGAACACAAACCGGGGATTGACATTATTTATATTGAGTGTACCACAGACAATGAACAGCAGCGCCCTGGAACACAAACCAGGGATAGACATTATTTACATTGAGTGTACCACAGACAGTGTTCTCCTGCTCCATGGGCAATGAACAGCAGCGCCCTGGAACACAAACCGGGGATAGACATTATTTATATTGAGTGTACCACAGACAATGAACAGCAGCACCCTGGAACACAAACCAGGGATAGACATTATTTATATTGAGTGTACCACAGACAGTGTTCTCCTGCTCTGTGGGCAATGAACAGCAGCGCCCTGGAACACAAACCAGGGATAGACATTATTTATATTGAGTGTACCACAGACAATGAACAGCAGCGCCCTGGAACACAGACCAGGGATAGACATTATTTATATTGAGTGTACCACAGACAATGAACAGCAGCGCCCTGGAACACAGACCAGGGATAGACATTATTTATATTGAGTGTAACACAGACAATGAACAGCAGCACCCTGGAACACAAACCAGGGATAGACATTATTTATATTGAATATACCACAGACAATGAACAGCAGCGCCCTGGAACACAAACCAGGGATAGACATCATTTACATTGAGTGTACCACAGACAGTGTTCTCCTGCTCCATGGGCAATGAACAGCAGCGCCCTGGAACACAAACCGGGGATAGACATTATTTATATTGAGTGTACCACAGACAATGAACAGCAGCACCCTGGAACACAAACCAGGGATAGACATTATTTATATTGAGTGTACCACAGACAGTGTTCTCCTGCTCTGTGGGCAATGAACAGCAGCGCCCTGGAACACAAACCAGGGATAGACATTATTTATATTGAGTGTCCCACAGACAATGAACAGCAGCGCCCTGGAACACAAACCGAGGATAGACATTATTTATATTGAGTGTACCACAGACAATGAACAGCAGCGCCCTGGAACACAGACCAGGGATAGACATTATTTATATTGAGTGTACCACAGACAATGAACAGCAGCACCCTGGAACACAAACCAGGGATAGACATTATTTATATTGAATATACCACAGACAATGAACAGCAGCGCCCTGGAACACAAACCAGGGATAGACATCATTTATATTGAGTGTACCACAGACAGTGTTCTCCTGCTCTGTGGGCAATGAACAGCAGCGCCCTGGAACACAAACCAGGGATAGACATTATTTATATTGAGTGTACCACAGACAATGAACAGCAGCGCCCTGGAACACAAACCAGGGATAGACATTATTTATATTGAGTGTACCACACACAATGAACAGCAGCGCCCTGGAACAAAAACCAGGGATAGACATTATTTATATTGAGTGTACCACAGACAATGAACAGCAGCGCCCTGGAACACAAACCAGGTATAGACATTATTTATATTGAGTGTACCACAGACAATGAACTGCAGTGCCCTGGAACACAAACCAGGGATAGACATTATTTATATTGAATGTACCACAGACAATGAACAGCAGCGCCCTGGAACACAAACCGGGGATAGACATTATTTATATTGAGTGTACCACAGACAATGAACAGCAGCGCCCTGGAACACAAACCAGGGATAGACATTATTTATATTGAGTGTACCACACACAATGAACAGCCGCGCCCTGGAACACAAACCAGGGATAGACATTATTTATATTGAGTGTACCACAGACAATGAACTGCAGTGCCCTGGAACACAAACCAGGGATAGACATTATTTATATTGAGTGTACCACAGGCAGTGTTCTCCTGCTCTGTGGGCAATGAACTACAGCGCCCTGGAACACAAACCAGGGATAGACATTATTTATATTGAGTGTACCACAGACAATGAACAGCAGCACCCTGAAACACAAACCGAGGATAGACATTATTTATATTGAGTGTACCACAGACAATGAACAGCAGCGCCCTGGAACACAAACCAGGGATAGACATTATTTATATTGAGTGTACCACAGACAATGAACAGCCGCACCCTGGAACACAAACCAGGTATAGACATTATTTATATTGAGTGTACCACAGACAATGAACTGCAGTGCCCTGGAACACAAACCAGGGATAGACATTATTTATATTAAGTGTACCACAGACAATGAACAGCAGCGCCCTGGAACACAAACCAGGGATAGACATTATTTATATTGAGTGTACCACAGACAATGAACAGCAGCGCCCTGGAACACAAACCGGGGATAGACATTATTTATATTGAGTGTACCACAGACAATGAACAGCAGCGCCCTGGAACACAAACCGGGATAGACATTATTTATATTGAGTGTACCACAGACAATGAACTGCAGTGCCCTGGAACACAAACCAGGGATAGACATTATTTATATTGAGTGTACCACAAAGTAGACACAATTTATGGTCAACAATTATTATTTTGTTCAAAATTTGGATTATTATCACGTCTGAAAGTTTTTTTTTCTTAAATTCAGAGGGCTCTTAACATTGTGTATTAACATTACATTTGATGCCATAATGTAAAACTAAACATTATAACCTCTTCTTCCTTGTTGGTCCTGTTATCAACCCATCTCTACAAAGCTATCACATGAGTTATAAATATCGTCGGTTGACCATCGATCGTCGGTTGACCATCGATCGTGAGAATATGAGATCATGAGAGAGTACGCTTTTTACGCTGCTTTTAGCAATATCCCAGCAATATCATGGCAGGGACACCAGAAATGGGCTTCTTACATTGTACCCACATCGGGAATCGAACCCGGGTCTTCGGCATGATGAGCACACGCTTTAACCACTAGGCTACCTGACCGCCGTGACCATCTAGAAGAGGATGATGGGTATAAACATGAAAGTGGAACTTCTTAATTTGGGAATTTTTACTGACATTTGCTGCAGACTAGGGGCTGAATATCATCCTCGGAGCAGGTCTACATAAATCACTGGGACTAGATGGATATGACCAATGGTGTATCATGGTGTATACTGCTGATTCATTATCAATGACAACATAAACAAGATTATGGACAACCATGACAACGGATTTCTATCATACTTAATTATTTACTTGCTTGCATGTCAGCACAGCCCAGTTAATATGGTTGATGGAATAATGGTTAAAGCTCTTTCCAAATGTCAAGTGTTACTGAAATTAGACCACCATTGACATGGAGACCAAGCCTTGAATAGGTTCACATGATCAAGATACTGTGGTGTAATATCAGTAATGAAACCACACACATGGCAGATGACCATGATAAATGATGACAAGGTCATATTAATGAACCTTGATGAACGTTTCCATCCTGGTTCATCGTGGGTCAATGTCAATATGACAAATGGCGCTGCATTTTACATCCCAGTTAACTTGAATCACACCATGCCCTGTAGTATCAAATAGCCCAAACTGAGAGAGATTTATTTGAACCTGCTGAGAGGCCAATATTTTTTTCCGAGTCTGCAGTAAATGTCAATCTATTAAGTCACTTCCTACGACCAGCACAGGGGCTTGAGACCAATTGTAACCCACAAAACCCAAAAGGTTTCCCAATTAGTGAGTGAGTGAGTGAGTTTGGTTTAACGCCGCTTTTAACAGTATTCCAGTTATATCGCGGCGTGTCAGCTTGATGTGGAAGGAAAGCCCTAAGTGATGCAGGTCTCGGACGTTTACCAATTTGGTGAAACCCACGAGCACGGGTATGGTGCTGACAAACCTAGAAACATAATCGGGGTGAACCGGGATTCGAACCCACGATCATAGGTTTCTGGCGTGCCTAAGGGACACAACTCTGCAAAGCGAATCACAGCGCCTTAGACGACTGGGCCACCTGTGCCCCCTGGTTTCCCAATTAAGTTACCCCCTTACGACGAGCAATGTGGTGCTGGGGACACAATCTACCCTGGGCTGTGTAGAGGTGACATGTATTTCACTGACCAATAAGAGATAGAGGCTTGAATGCTTAGTTTTACATTGTTGCATTGAATGTGAAAGGGTAAGCATAGTGAAAGAAGTCATTGCGACTTTGCTGTGAATAGCAATTTTCCTAGATACATGTACATAGTTCTGGGAAAAACATAATCCATAACATTCATCGAAAGTATTTAAATTTCTAAATGAAAGTGCTGAAATCACTCTCCATAATCAGCGTCTAAAACAAATCTTACCGACTTTGTGTGGGACAAATGTTTTCATTGGCTGATATGCAGACTTGGTTGCAGCATCTGTCTACTATATAACCTATCTGGAGGCATTTTACGAGGATTGTTGATTTTGAATGATTATTATGCATTGTATATTATAATATTGATTTTATTAATTACTCAATCCAGAAATGTTAGCTTTCCTCCTCTGACCTGTCTGTCTGAGATCAATGGCTGGAGTTTGTGTCAGTAATGTGTTAGAAACAACCTTTGATCTTGACAAAACAATAAATAACAATTAATGTCTGTAACTAGCTTTATATGACCAACATCCTGTTTGGGTACAATAAACCACCTGCTGCCCTTGGAAATTAAAGATTTATATCACAAATAATCAGTTACAGAAAAACAATTATCTGGCTGACAATACATGTGTTCAGCATTGGCTGTCCATTCTGCAGAAACAGACCTAAGGTCTAACATGCAGCAATCTTGTTGTGAGACGTCAAATTGGCTGTTCTTACCCCCACTTCAACGATCACAAAATCAAAGAAAATATTTTTATTTTGACATTAAATATCACAAAACAGGTATTTCTAGTTAGGTCAATCATTATTATTCAATAATATCAAGTTTCATCACGTGATTTTGTGCTTAATGGAAAATAAGTGTCAAAATGATGGTTGACGGACTAAAGACACCAGTGAGAGATATACATGCATATTCTTGGCATAAGTTGTGGACACAGTAATCAAATGGATGAGCAGACAGAAAAGCTCAGAACAATACAGTTTGTAAATCCAAGCAGAATTGGGTAGACCGGTCCGATCACTGAAATAATGCAGCTTGACAAAAACTGTGAAACATATGTTATAACCACAGGGGTGGATTTAATGATTGAACCCATACTTTTTTATAGTCAGTTTTCTGTTTTTCTGTTTTTCATTTCATTTCGGTAAAGCATATACCTAAAGTACTCAAATTGGCAAAGTTGCTATGTTCACTATACATGTCCTTCATAAGATCTCTGAAAATAGGAAATTTGCAAAAATCTCAATTTTGGAAAAAATAACTTTTATTTCCAAAATTGCCTGCCAAAGGCACTTAGTTTAAGGGGGCATGGGTGGCCCAGTCGTCTAAGGCGCCGCGATTCGCTGTGCAGAGTTGCGTTCCTTGGGCACGCCAGAAACCTATGATTGTGGGTTGGAATCCCGGTTTGCCCCGTTTATGTTTCTAGGTTTGTCAGCACCACACCCGTGCTCGTGGGTTTCACCGAAGTGGTAAACGTCTGAGACCTGCATCACTTCGGGCTTTCCTCCCACATTAAGCTGACAAGCCGTGATATAACTGAAATACTGTTTAAAGCGGCGTTAAAAACCCAACTCACTCACTCACTTAGTTTAAAATCATAGATCTATAAATCTCTTCAATATACCTACCTCATGATAAAATTACAACATGTATTGCAATGCTCAATTTGAGCTGTTTTTGCATGAACATGATGAAGTTATCCAAGTTCAACGCAGTCCGCTGATTAGAAATTGTTGCTATCAGCTCAATGCTTGTTTATTTAGGCCCAGTGAAATCATGCTAACAGTATTACAATATTAGCTTTAGCATGTTAAGCATTGTTTCATGATAAGTATATCCATGACAGGGGTAATGCTAGCCCAAAAAATTTTGCTTATAGCAAAAATGTATAAATATATATATATAAGTTTATATAGATCCTTGAAATGTATCAGTGTAAAGCAGGCACATATATATACACGTGTTACCTATATGGTTAGAAATAACTGAGTTCATAAAAATGTATGCGCACTGGTGCAAATATTATTTCAGTGCATTGTAGACGTCATTTCAATCTTATTGAGACGTAAGGTCGGAATGACATCACACTAAAACAGCGTCATAGCAACCCATGCTTGTTGTAAGAGACGACCGGCTGGACAGGGTGGTCAGACTTGCTGACTTGGTTGATGCATGTCATTGTATCCCAATTAAGTAGATTGATGCTCATGATGTCAATCACTTGTGTGTAGCTGGCCGAGACTCGATTATTTACAGTACCCCATCTGGAATATTGCCGAGTGTGGCATTAAACAACAAACAAACAAAAGAACTTGCCCGAAGTGCATAATTTGGCAAATGCAGTAACTGAAATTTTTAACATCATATATTTGCTGCTGAAATAAGTGCCCAGGCCCTGACCAACTTCTAGGTCTACATATCAGTAAGCAATCACCTGTTCATCATAAAAATGACCTTTATTCAGATCAAAAGTTAACAAAACAGTTTGTATTTTCTTATTGTGTATAAATTATAATACACAGTTTGTACAGAAAGTACGTCTGTGTAGAAGGGGTGCATAATATTTGTATACACCAGACACCCCAAGTAAACTCATTACGCCTGGAACTCATATGCGATAATAAATTAAGCGACCTGTGATAGGAAGACCACGGTCAATTTTCTAAGAGCACGTAGCGCTTATTATGGCGAATACGGTACAAATATTGGAAAACGAAAGCAATAAACTCTGGTACCTGATAGATCTAGGTGTCAGTCGGTGTGTCCTGTATTGATTATCACGAAAGTCTAGCCAAGGTACGGTATGTGTCAGAGACATGTACCAGTACGTAAATACAGACTATATAGGCCTTGGTCCCCTTGTCAAGTGCGATCATCCGAGCACTCGTTCACCTAGAGCTCCCACTACTTTAGGCCTAACAGCCAGGGGCATTGGACACACGGAAAAAAAAAACACTCGACAGTCGTAAAGCTATCATTTCTTACTTTGGTTTCGTCAATCCTTCCTCTTCGCTCCAATATCGACAAAATATCTTCTTCCCATCTTTGTTGGTAAAATATCCCTCATATTTCGTCTCTTCGGGCCTGTGTTTTTCTTCCGACATGTTCACATGTGCCTCCTGTCAAGTGCGGTCGCCTGGTGTCAAGGTGAAGGACAAGCACCTGTTCAGCACGCCCTCTATAAATAAGCACAGCACGTGACTGATATCAAGTGTTTTCAATGGCGTCTGAGTATCACACAAGATGACTTTAGATAAGAATATTTGTTGATGCAATAAAGCCACACCAAATAGCTCAGAACGGCATGATCTTTTATGAAAAACAACTTGGTGACAATTCATTACCACTAGTTGTATACCATAACAATAAATCAATAAAACATATTAAATATTAACCCGCACTTTTAATTACAGGCCGTGGTATAAATAGATAGGATGCAATCAGGCAAATACAGGTGTTCCTTTACCGTATATACTTGCCCCACTCTGGTTGCCCCACAACGACTGCCATCATCTGGTTCCATATTAAATCCTTTCATGGATCTATATTATAAACCCGTGACCCTACTACATCATACACGATTGTTTTCAACGTTTCAGACGAGATGGAATATGAAAACTTAAAAATATATTTTGAACTGATTTCTTTGTATATGTGGAAATGAATAACGGAACGTTAAAAAAATGAAGTGGAAGTAATTTGCTCTTCAACAAGATAACGACATAGTGCTTACTTAATCATTCGACAAAATGCACTTAATCTTGTATTATACGTTCTTCAACATTACTAACATTTCACGAGAGCTGTTGAGAATGCCTTAAAGCCCTGCAGCTGCGTCGGTGTTGAAAACATAACTATTGCATGCTAAAGACCCCTGGCTATACCCCCACGACAAGGAAGTGACTCATCCAAGTCTATAGTCTGTATTCTTGAACTATGTCCAGGAACCCTTAGTATCTTCCTTGTTTATTGCTGCCCCTTACATGTCCATGAATTATATGTATTATTTACTTCAACTAACCACATGTAACTAGCTATATTTTGTTGCCCATGTTAACTTTAAAGTATCAACCATCAGTATATTGAAAGGTAGATCTAACACTGTTCTGTAAGGAGAGAAGGAGCTTCCACGTCGATCTCCGATAAGGAGTTTTCACTGTCGAACTGTCCGAACAGTCAGTACTTCACGATAAATTGGGATATTTAAATAGCACTTTTTTCCGAAATTAAAATTGTCTCTGCTTTCGTATAGGTGATAGGTATAGGCAGAGTTGTTAATTGTTATACGCAGACCTGGGTATAGCACATACAGTAAATAAAGTAATAATAATCCGACATCTGAATAATCTGATATTCTGTTTGATCCGAAAAATCAGTTTTGGTTCCGGCACAGCCCCTTATAGTGTCATGTAAAAACTCTGCTTTATTCGATGTCTGTCTATTACGAAGTCCGACACTGTTTCGTATCACGAGCAAATCCATGTTGTGCCACATCAACCCATTACGAACCTTAGAAAACCAACTAAATTGTGGTCGTATTGTTTTCGTGCTCTTAAGGGATGGGACCCGTGAAGATCCGGGTTAGAAAGGATCTTCAGCAACCCATGCTTGCGTAAAATATGCTTGTCGTTAGAGGCGACTAATGGGATCAGGTAGTCAGGCTCGCTGACTTGGTTGATGCATGTCATCGTATCCTAATTGCTCATCGATACTCATGATGTCAATCACTGGATTGTCTGGTCCAGACTTGATTATTTACAGACCACCGTCATATAGCTGGAATATTGCTGAGTGCGGCGTTAAACAACAAATAAACAATCTTAAGGGGTGACGTTAATTTGAAGATAAGTACACGTGTAACATGAGGGTTAATCCGTACTTGTTTCCTTATTTGATAGGCTTGATTACTGACTAACCGAGATCGTATCTTCTTTATGTGGCATTATGAAGTTGGCATGATGAACAAGGGAGATAATTCTATGGATATACAACTTCTTTATTACAATGAATGTGACGTTTCGGTGTAGATACTAACACCGTTATCAAGCAAGTTAAGTCGCATTCATTGTAATTAAGAAGTTGTATATCCATAGAACTATCTCCATTGTTAACCGAGTGAATCACCGAGGGTGCCGAGTAGTGTCTGATTACACTCAGTCTGTCTACTGTGCTTCGACTGGCGCATCATCTGCTGTTTATACCCCGATGTGCATGGATTGCCCCGAACCTGTTCGTCGTCTGAATTATTACTGGCATTGACTTACGTCAGTGACAATTGAATGCAAAACCTGAACCGGATACCCGCGTACCCTTGAACAATATAGCTGTTGAGGGCGTGACGGAGGATAGTATGAGCCCCCCTTTAAACTATGCAGGTTGGGTAAAAGTGGGTTTAACGTGCGTTCAAGAATATTGCACTTATTTAGCAACGTGCATGCGCGCGCGCGTGTGTGTGTGTGCGTGTGCGTGTGCGTGCGTGCGTGCATGCGTGTGTGTGCGTGCGTGCGTGCGTGCATGCGTGTGTGTGCGTGCGTGCGTGTGTAACAGAAAGGGCTATGCTAGGGAGCGGGGTAATATGGTTCAGAGACTGTTAGATAAACTATAGTCTGGAGTAATGTCGGTATTTTAGTGCCAGCCCACTGAGATACCATACCGTAGTTTAACATGAATACCCCACTCAGACACAGTATACCGACTCCGAGCCGACCAGTCCTTGTTTTATCCCTTAGTTTAACGTATTTTGATTTGACGCTGCCGGGGATCGAACCACCGACCTTCCGATCTCCGGGAAGATATGCTCTATCCACTCCATCACGGACGTGTTTCTACTATGGGGACACGTCAAGGCGGTAACATTGTTGGAATAAACGGCAGGTATTTTTGTTTGTTTGTTGTTTAGCGCCACATTCAGCAATATTCGTATATGACGGCGGTTTGTAAATAATCGAATCTGGACCAGACAGTACCACGATTGACATCATGAGCATCGATCCACGCAATTGGGATACGATGACTTGCATCAACCAAGTCAGCGAGCCTGACCACCCGATGCCGTTAGTCGCCTCTTACGACAAGCATGGTCGCTTTTGACGACAAGCAAGGGTTGTTGAAGACCTATTCTACCCCGTATCTTCACGGGTCAAACGGCAGGTAAGCAGACGAGGATATAATTATGGTCAAGGGAGGATACAGTATTTGGGAAACGGTGGTGTGCATTATTGATTTGGCATTTCAAGTCCAGTAAGCGAGTAGTGTGGAAACTATATTCACAAGACTTAAAGAGTGGGTCATTGTGTTGTTATGCTTATACTCTTAGTATACTCTAGTCTAACCTATAAGACATAATGCAGTCAGGACAGTGAGATTATTGGAGGAAGCGGTACCTGAAGTTGCGCAGGCGATGGTACACAGGCGAGAACAAGGCTACATAGACGGTGTCAACAAGACTTCAGTCACCATCGGGGTGAATCTTGGCTTTGAACACACAGCCAGCCCATTTAATAGTACTTGTGGTGACAAATTAACCAGAATTTGGTATCTACCTGGTTGGCGCGAGCCGAGTTTGGTTCATTGCCGTTTCTATTTTGGTCATATTGTCACACCACGACTCACAACGTTGGTTATACATGTTAATATTGTAAGTAAGCATAGTGTCGTAAGAACATGGGTGGGGTATATGTTTTAGGAGAGAGTTCATATACGTTTTATATGTTCCCTAAGTAAGTTAAATATATCTGTCTAAATAATCACAGTCTAGACATTACAATTTAGAGAGCAGCACCAGGGCTATTATTACCATGGTCAGCTGTACAGAGTTATGTGCGGGTCAGCTGCCCGCCATAAGGCAACGGAATGTCCGGCTGGCCACTGAAGCATGACGTTGTGGATGAGGTGCTGGGTATTACAGGCTGACCAAACAGGTATCCGTAAAATAATACGTGTCAGTCTGACAGTGATTCGCCTCAGGGTTAAATGTAGTGTGCCTTTGGTTAGTCAGTAGTTGACCCTGGGACAGGCTGACCTTTGCCTGCGAGATGCCATCTGGACGCTGCAGTCCCCTAGTCCCATTATGGACCCATAGACAGACTCGTGTGTTGGAAGACCACCAGCTGACCCAAACCTATTGAACCCCGTGATAAATATATATATATATATCAAGTGATTTCGCATTTATTGAATAGAAGCTATTATCATTTAACTTAAGCATTTATCCATGACATAAGCTTATGACATAAAAACATGTATGTCATACCCCAATGACATAAGTATGCAAATTAGATATGCAAATTAGATAACCGGAAGAGCGAGCGGTTTGATTTGAAACTATATATTATAAGTGAAGTTACACCAGAGATATAATCAGATTACACAGAATCGTTGTTGTTACCGTTATTAAAGTTTCAATTATTCTGCAAAAGTCTGTTCAAGTATTTTGTTTAAAATAATCCGAGGAACTTTTTTTCTCAGCGAATTTTTTATTTTGGTTTACATGGCAATGGAAAACATGTATCACTACGCACGATCTATACGTAAGATTTCGACAAGTTGCTGATGTTAATGTTAAATGCAATTATTCCTTAATTTGGAAGCAAAAATGTGAAAATGATAAATAGAATTCATCACTCGTGTTTTTTAATATGGGAAATATCAACCTTGTCCCGTTAATCGGTATTTGCCTCGCCAAAGGCTCGGCAAATACCGATTAACTAAGACTCGGTTGATATTTCCCATATTAAAAAACACTCGTGATGAATCCTCTCTCTCTCTCTCTCTCTCTCTCTCTCTCTCTCTCTCTCTCTCTATATATATATATATATATAAATGAGGTAAATGTTCACTCGGTGTACATGTAATATATAATAAAATAATAAAGTCCACGTTAGTCCATCATCTTCTTTATATCAGTTTCATACATAGTACTTTCGCTGTCTCATGACAGCTCTTCAGTGTAACTGATAATGACATATAATGACGTCATACTTATGATGACGTCATAAATTACAACCGTGACGTCATAATGTATTTACACTCTCCAGCGACGACACCAAGTAATTTAACAATTGTAGGGAGACATTTGAATTAAATATACAGTATTTGTAAAGTTACAGTGCAACATTTACGATTGAAATGACAAATCTATTAATACATTCTAGAGTTCAATTTTGGT